AAAGAGAACATGAAATATATCCCACAAAAAAAAAATCAAAACTGGACAATGCAGATTTAAGGCGAGGAATGAGCAGTGTAAGTATTCCTGCTTCATAAATGGTTCAAATCAAGAAAACACTAGATGGTAACATTTCAGGCAACTGTTAGAAAAGTGAGAGAGAACAAACTCTATTAAATATTCAAATATTTAACTGAAGCCATGACCTTTATATATTACTCTGTCTGTCTGACTGCAACGTTGTTAAGAAGAGCTTTCCTCTGATTTAATGTCAACGCTATTTAAGCACAGGGCTGCGCACTGCTTTTGGTAAGAAGCATTTTTTCTACACTACTGAAAAGGTACACTCCAGACAATGTACTATGGCTAAGTATTGCTCCTTGTCAAGTAGACAAGTAGACAACTGGATTTCATGGGTAAAATCAATGTTGGAATTTTTTTGATTCCAAAGCATTAGCATTACAAAATATGTGTTCAGCTGTGATATGCATTCTTTTTTTGCAAACTTTTGTCTGCTATTTTTCTGTATAAACCTAAGAATTACATGGAAATATATTTTGTGTATGCATGACAGAGAGAGAGAAACTGATGAACAAGCCCAATGTCAAATCATCAGATTTTACACAAAGCAGCTGGGTTGTATTTCTGTGTGTCACATCACCATAAACTCAATACCAACAGGGCCTTCTTATGGTGGCCGGCCATACAGTCATTAAATGTTTTAACAAGACCTGGTCAGTGACTGGAGCCCACTTGCTGAGTGGCAACATTTCATAATTACCATTCAGAGTTAATACCCATATTGTTTTACAGCCCACCATAACTCAGCTATGTGCTGAGTGGGTTAAATCAGCTGGGTGTAAATAAGCAATATACTGTACAGTATGGTCATATACAGGGAGTGTTGTGTGGAGTGATTTAGGTACATTAAGTAGTACATCAAGACTTGAGTGTTTATTTAACACTGCAGAGCTAATCTGCTGAAAGAACTGGCTCGTGAAGGCCTTGTGAACGATTTTTGCTTTGGTTTGTAAGGATAAATATAGTGGGCTTTAAAGCAGTGATTTGTTTTTACTTAGAACTACAACCTCTGCCATTTAGGGATTGACTTGTGAGAAGCGGATTTGACAAAATAAAGATTCTGCTCTTCTGCAGCCAAAAAACAAATAAAAACAAAACAAATTCAAAAAAATCAAGAACACCCAGTATGCTTGTAAGGCAGATGTCAGCCTATCAGAGTTTATAAAGCGTAAGTGACTCATGGTGCACATCAGCAAGGAAAAGGATGCAATACAAAATGCGAATTCCATTAAGTTGTGGTGAAAGAGGCTTGATTGTGTTCAGCATTCCTTTCATTTCAAGGACTAAACAACCAACTGTGATTGACCTGCTGTGGATGTTGGGTGGCAAATACAAGCTTGCACAGTAAATGCTGGATACTTTTCATCATCAAGCGGTGCAAGAAGTGGGATAAATACAAACGAAACAAAAGCCGATTGTTTTCCATTATTTGATGTTTTGTTTTCTTTGAGATTTCCAGTACTCTTTCAATAATAATGTGGTTTTCTAGTAATGTGGCAAAAGCTTTATTCAGTTCAGCAAGTTTGTGTCACAGCACTGGGGACATCTTCTAATCCTAGAAAAAATGCCATAAAAGCTACCAGAGAAACTGGAATAAATGATTTGCACAACATTAAAAGCAGCAGGTTTCTTCACAGCTGTTAAAAGCAACATACATCCTCAATAAACCCATTCATGGTTCCATTTGCAATGAAAAAAAAAATGTATTCATGCCCTGGTGTGCTACAGATTTCCTGTTGAGTCGAGAACTTGATTGCACAGCACTGTGTGGGTTTTATTCAGAAACGCTTCCTGGAGGAGTGGAAAAGCTTTTACACATGATATTAGACCCTGCAAGTCTCTGCTAGACATTGTTGCCCACTCAAACTCTGCAGTGGAGAACTGAAGAAAACACTGATGTAATCAACTTTGTCTAATTTTTTTTCCTTAGAATAAGAGCCTTTCCATGAAAAGTTGCAGTGGCGTAATATACAATGTAGCTCTGTTATTCTGCCCAACAAAGGAAAAGCTTTATTAGCATATTGGTTCCCTTCTGAGTTTAAACTCATTGCTTCAACTTCTGTAAACAAGAGAAGATTGACAGCAAACTCATATCCTGTAGAAGGAATGAAAGATGTACCTGTTGCTTACACTGTGCACTTGAATAAAATAAATCTTGTTGACAATATAGTTCTGGTTTGGGGTTCATCTGAGCACAGGGGACGACAGGGTTTTTGCTGTCATACATATTGCTGTTTTATTAATTAACCTGATGAATATAATCCATACATATTTCATGGTATAATATTCACATCATGTTACCTGGTGTACACCGCACACTGGTTTCCCCCCAGTGTGTTAGGGCTACTAGAATTGGATGAGCGCATAAAATGGAAAAACAGATCAAAGCTGCAAAGTCTTACTGTATGTAGCTGAGGTGTAGAGATCACAAAAGTCCTTTTTTGTTTTGTTTTCACAAAGCAGTCCAACAAAACTAAAATCCTGCAGCAGAATATATACGTTTTTGTGTTTCTAAAGCAAGAGCTTGAATTCGATTGTTGAGGAGTGGGAGGTTATTGTAGTTTACTACCTGCTATCACTTCATCATCAGTTGTGTTTTATTACATTTCTCTGGAACAACAGCCATTTATAACTTTACCTTTCATAATAAAGGCAGCGAGAGCCATTTATATGAGTAATTATACCCACTCACACTTGCATCCTTGTTTTACCTCACACTGATGGATGAGATGTAACATTACTCCTGAAATTGCTCTGTTTGTGTAGTAATAGGTGTGTGTGTGTGTGTGTGTGTGTGTGTGTGTGTGTTTGCTTGATTATGAAAGAAAAAAAAAGGACATTTATGCACACACATACTGTACACAAAACTGGCTAGCCATTTGCAGTGCCAAAACACAAATCTACTGGATTTAATGAAGAGCAAGAGGGAGATTCTAAATATTGCGTTTAATTTGATTTAGCATTTTCATGAGCCCGTGCCTCATCCTTAAATCATGTTAAGATGTTTAGAGTCGTGGCGGATCATCCACTGCTTACTACTTACGCTCAATCGTTCGGCCCTCTCTGTTAATGAATGCGGGTGATTTCCATAAAATATTCTTAAAGAGGTCCGTTATTATTACCATAACGTTTCATCTCCCACCATAGCTAAACTTCAATCAGTTTTGCATTTGAAATGCATTAAATGTCTCCATAAAGTCTTCTAATCTCTACCCAAGTCATTTTTCTTCTTTAACTGGTATGTGTAGAAAGGGAAACTAATATTAAAGACATTAATTACACTGTTCTGTTCTTCTTTTTTTTTACAACACTCTTTTGCCGCTTATTTCTGATTGGAAATTTCAGTCTCATCTAGTGTTTCAAAACAAGTGTGTAATTATGTTGTTTATCAGAGCGTATAGTTGTATTCCTCTTATGATGTTTTAGGTTAATTACTCCAAGGCCTTTGATGCACATGCTCACATGAAAACTAAAACAAAAACTCATATTCATTTTGTACTCCAACAAATCTGTGTGTTGCTAAGAATTGAATTGTGTTATGATACAAACACACAGTATCACAGTTAAATAATGACAGGTGTTTCCTCTGGCAAATTGTGCGAGATATGTTTTTGTAGTCCTGCTTTTTTCCCTTTTTTTGCAAGCAATCAAGTACTTTATTCAGTCTGTCTTACACATTGTGTCTTGGATGGAATAATCTTGACTGCAGCTTTGTTAAAAGGTAGGCAATTGAAAAAGCTTCAGCAGATGAAACCAGTTTCTCCAAATCAAAAAAAAAAAAAAAATGTGGCACCCATTTCTCCTTTCAGGTCAGTTTTGAATATTGAATACCAGTGTCAGACATGAACATCAATCAGCACTGGTGGGGACCTGAGAGAATCTTTTTAATGGGACTGGATTATGTTTCTATATATGCGTAGTAAGGTACAGCAATAATAATAATAATAATAATAATAATAATAATAATGATAATGAGGATGATAGTGATCTATTGTACTCTGAATCTCCTCACGACCTTGAGCTTCTTGCTCGTCAAATGTTTTCCAGTTCTCTTTGGCACACTTCCATTGTCTGGGGAGGTTGTTTTCTTGCTAGAAATAGTCTTGGGTTGTTTTTTCTCATCACCACCAGGTGTCACTCTTGGGCTGTATTTGTTCAAACCTGAAAACACATCTGTGGTATAAAAGACATATAATTTCAACAAGTCACTTACTGGAGGATGAATAAAAGCTCCCTTATTTATAGGAGAGGCTTTATGGATTTCTGAAATGATGTAATGGACTCTGACTGAGCAATTCAGGGTTTAGGGTCTTGAAAAGTAGTCAGCACATAAAGGAAAAATGAACCTGTAAAATTGCATTAGGGAATGAAAAACAAAACTGATGGCATGAAGCTTTTACATAACAAGAGTGGCAGTAGATTCATCTGAATTAACCAGCAACCTATTTGGGATTGTTTTATTTTACAGTCAAACATAGTGCTGTGATGTGCAGATTTGTATTCTGCTTCATTTAGCCTTGTTAAGCCTCTTCAAAACGGAACTCCTTGCATCACAATATTATTCATGTCTTTGATGCAATTCCTATCATTTTATTACATCTCTGTGTCTATTTTTCCTAATTTGGCGTGTAAGCACACGTGAGATGGAACAAATGTCAAAGTATTTACACCAGGATGACAGCCATCACTTACCTTCATGTTATTCCCCCCCACCCCCCCAACAAGCCCATTCAGGATACAATATCACACATTAAGATGAAACACATGGATTTCTATATGTCATATCACACAGTGAAATGTGCTTTAAACCTGTTTCTTTACTTTCAAGAAACAGCCACCTTTCTTTAAAATCAGCCCCCACCTCTCTGACATTTGCTATGCTTATTTTAAAATACCTCTGTTTTCTCTCAATTTCCCAGATGACACAGAATCAAAGACTGAAGACACAAAATCCAAAACCTCTCAAGACCAGCTGGCTGAAGAGGTAAACTGATAGTGTACATAAGAGACTATTACAGGGACCGTCAAATACATCTTGTAGAAATTTAGGTGTACGTCCTCTCATTAGGGCACACAGCATTTGTATTTATCACAGTGCCTACAACATCATAGCACTCAGTTTACGTTTATAACACTGCTATATATTTCCCCGACTAAATATTTTCCGTCATTAGGTAAAGTCATTAGTCAATAAGTCATAAGTCAATGGATGATGTTTAACGTTACTTACATCGGCTTGCTCCAAATTCGCTCCTCTTCCGCCTCACGCCACTCTCATCCCTGCCTGAACTTGCCATGTCACCGTTGTCCCGGAGTCATAGTCCTGGTTGGAGCCGCTGTAAATCACCTGGCCTCCGACAGGGTCCTGGCCATGGTCCCTGGGAGGCTCTGATGCTTGCAGTCCAGGTACTGTGAGCTACTAGGGCCGCTAGTGGCAGCAGCTAGTACAGTTAGCATATCAGTGCACCAATAAGTGACATCCTGTGTTACAAGAGAAAAGGTCCGGAATTCAACATTCCCCTGATATTTTCACCTGGTGACAAGCTCCCGAATGGAGTTTAACATTATTTTTGTTTTTCTGTGACCATCTGATTGACCGATTGGGTCAACTAGGACTCTTCTCGTTGACTATTTAGGGACAGCTCTAGTGTTATCTTTGTGTTTTTGAGAATCGATACAGTAACAAAAAACAAATCACTGTGTATCAATATTTTCTTACACCCCTAGTACCCCTAGTGCATTTGTTAACAAATGTATCACTATATAATTGTGCATTACCTAGTGTTTAATTACCCAGTCATTTACATATTCTTTTACCTAATGTTAGATGCACCGTGGGCCATTAGGAAGCACAAATGGCTGCTGTTTCTCCACTACTTGTTGCATATTGATTGACACTCCATAAAAAAGAGTCTTGGAGAAAAAACCCATAATGCCTTGGCTCCACTTCATTTGTAAGTGCTCATGACTCAATAGCACTGTCGCTCTCTTTCAGGAAAGTGTAGGTCACAGGGAGAATTACTGTAAACAATCCAATTACACTATATGCCTGTTAAAATATTTAGAGATTATAAATTGTTTCTGTGGTATTATTGCATTACAGAAACCTGCAGGTGAGGATGCAAAGGCCACAGAGGAGAATGGTGAAAGGGAGGCACAGAAGGAAGAGGCTGCTGCCGCTGAAAACACCACGGCAGAAGACACTAGCAAAGAGGAAAAGATGGGAAACCAGGAGACAAACGGTGAAAAAGAGGGAGGGGAAGAGAAGAAAGAGACGGTAGAAGAAGAAGTGAAGGAGGAGGTCACGGATGAGAGTAAGGAGCAGGTTAAGAGCGAGGAGCAGGGGTCCAGCGGTAGCAACATTGATAAGTCCCGGAACAGTCAAGAGAAAAAAGATGGGGGCCATACATCTTCTGAGGGTGAAAAGGATGAGCAAGACAAAAATATAGAAGAAGAGAAGCAAGATAAAGACAGTGCAGAGGGGGAGAAAAGCAGTGAGGACCAAGTTAATGATGTAGACACGGGGGAGGAACAGAAAGAGACAGAAAACAGCAATGACCCGGGGAAGACTCAGTCAGATAACGAGACAAAAGAGAACAAAAGCGGCAGAAGTAGCAGTAGCAACAGTAACCAGGAAGAAGATGTGGGCAAAACAAAAGAGGGAGCTACCAAAGAGTCAGGAGAAGAGGAGAGAAAGGTGAACGGAGAGGTAAGTGGAGAAGATGATGAGGTGGAAAGTGAAGCAGAGCTTGACACGGAGGAGAAAAACTCAGCCAGACACAAAGATGCCACAGCAAATGGAGAGAAAGGGTAGGATAATGGTAAAGACAACCAAGATAAAAGCAGGAAAGGGAAGAATTAGAAAAAAGAAAGAGAAAATGGAGTTGATAGATGAGCCGTGCTGAAAATAGTAAGCAATATTTTACAATGCAATCTAAAAATAATGAAGGTGGCAGAGCAGATTCACAGAAAGCAAAGCCAAGACATATTCAGAGATATTTTCTACTAGATGGTATTGTAAAATCTGCACTGATAAGAGAGTGCCCAATATGGAGCCTCTAATAGATGTTTTGCATGGCTGACCGCTAAATTATGTCCAAAAGTAAAAAAAAAAAAAAAAAGAACCATCAAAATTTCAGGTATGTATTCAAAAGTTATTTATCAAAACATTATTCATTTGTTCGAAACTATCATGTTTGAAATGGACAAAACAAATAAAAGCTATAATAATACACTCTTATTTTTCATTAAGACACACTATTACCTCTTGGGCTGCTTGATTGTTTCAATATACAACTGTGTGTTAGCACTGTAGTGAGGGATACCTGGGAAATTAAAGTGTAGTTCATAAACCATCATCATACTAGATGCTTGTTTTTAAAGATGTTTTTTGTATGTATGGAAGTTTTGTCCCAAAGAAAGTGATACGAATTGACTTTTTAAGTAAGCACAATAAGCTATGTGTAATATTGTAAGCCTACTGTATGTGTCTGAATGTCCAACATGTTATGTGTTAATATAGTCATATTTCTAATCATAATCCTGTCACTGTGTCTTATGCATTTTTGTTTATTTATATATATCTTCTACCAGAAAATAAAAGAGAAATTAATGGTTAATAATAATAATTACATAGTTACCAGATTCTTTAATAAAAGAGACTTTGCTCCATCTCCTTATATGTCAACTCATTATAAAATGACTCTAATTAAATGTGTCCAAAAATAATAATAATAAAAAAATAATACTTAAAGTCTGATAACTTTTTTGTGGCAGTGGATATGGTCAGCGTAAATTTTACTATAGTGTTTGTCATATTGCACGCACAGTGGATGGATATTTATGTTCACCTCAGTCACATTTCTGGAATTGTTCTTCGGTAAGTAGTTTTTATTTCAAATGCTCTTCCTTTCACAACAGCTTGATTATTGTAACGATGTGCACTTACTGTCATTTTGGGCAAGTTTAGGGCAAATGTAGTGAGCCAAGAAAAGGCTTTAGCATTCACGATAAAATTAGTAACCCGTTGTTACTGTACACACTACTGTTGTGGAAGAACTATTTTTACTGTAAGTAAAAGAAGCAGTATCAAAACTTATTATTCCATTAAGGTAAAAATGTACTTTAAAGTATCAAAATCAAAAGTACTTGTTCCGTTTTGTTTTGTTATACTATATGCAGCCTTTCAATATTGAATTTCATTGAAGTTAAATATTTAGCCTACAGTAAAACAATAGGTGATGTTTTATATTCTCATTTTATGTGTTTTAAATGGTAATCTGCAAAATTATTATTCACTAAGGAGTTAGATCTTTGCAACACATACACTTAATAACATTATGCGCTCAAGTGCTTACAATAACATTTTAAACCTGTTTTTTTCAAAACCACAGAACACACAACATAATATTACAACAGTATATGTACTAAGGGGATTTTTGTCAGGTACGTTCACTACTTGTATTGTACATTTAATATGCTAATGTCTATTCGTATATTCGTCATAACTTATTTAGGCCTTTAATCCAAGATGCAAAGGTTAGTGAGTCTTGAACAACTTTAATTATGGCAAAAAGACAGGCAGGACAAGATTTAGAAAGTGATGTACTGTAGCTAACACTGTATAACACTGTTTTTATTTTTATTTAGTCATTTTGCCTCTCAGTTTTCCCCTGGCACAAGGTTGCACAGAGCCACTATAAACTGCCTCCCACAGGCAGGAAACTGTAGTGTGAACTGTGATCTAATTCGGTGTCTATGTTGGCCTCAGCACTCTTTCATCCCTGCAGCTGTTCAAATTGGGATTCATGCAGTCAATGTGTTTGTGAGTCACCATCCCACGAGAGAGGAAGAACATAGGTGAGAGAGAGAGAGGGTGAGGTAGAAGGAGAGAGCAAAGAGCAAGACACACAGAGGAAGGCAGAGGAGGCGGGGGCGGGGATGTGCGTGTGAGTCATACGGTCTGACTGGTCGAGGTGATGATCCTCAAGGTGCTATTTCTGGAGTTACCATCAATTCTGTGTTATCTCCTCCACTGGCCCCTTTAAGAGTGTGTGTGTGTGTGTGTGCGCGTGTGTGTGTTAATAAGGCTCTGGATAGCAATGACACCTTTCTGCACTTCCCCTAGCTAAATGACTGTGTCGCTTGATTACGGTAAGAGCTTCTACTAATTAAGGCATAGTATGTTTGAACACCAATGACAGTCTTAATGAAAACCAAATCCTATGATGACTCTTTTCTATGTTTTTCTCCATGAAGTGAAGGGGGTACACTTAATCTTTAACAAAAAAGATGTTGCCTAAACATGTACAGTATACTGAACGCTGTATCACTAGTACTTAAAATTTTAGGAGGATACAAAGTGAAGACAAAGTTGACAAAGCAGAAGTGCAAACTAAAAAAAATATTTAGTATAAAAACAATAATTTGGCCCATTTTGGAAGGCCTAATAGCTCATGTGATTACTTTTATTTCTGTTGCCTGTATTGTTAGGTGTGTTATTAGTCAAAGTATATGATATGTATACAATATATGATGTGTATACAAATTCAGTGGTGATGGGGAGATACATTTTCTGTTCATTTCTATTCATAGTTCATTTATAGAGTGTGTTTTTAATAAAAAAAGATAAATACAATCTTCACACATTTTGAGCGGTGGATATTTCAATTTTATTGTGTTCTTTGAAAAATAGACATACTGTATAGACATTGATATATATTTGTTCTTTATCCAATCCAACCTCCAGTACCTACAGTATATATCTTTTTATTTACTGGGAGAATCCACTGTTACATCAGGACACACTTAAACTGGGAGACCATTTTTTTCATGGTCAGATTAAAAGCAGAAAAAAGTATCCATTGTGAATGTGGTATTGTAATGTAGAACTCAACTTTGGTCAATGTAAGGATGAAAATAAACACAATTTACAGCATGGAACTACAAGTCGGCACATTTTTTGACCACTAAATGATGCTCCGACCACACAGGAGGGTTTGTTTATAACACGTTGTCTTTTTCTTTTTGTACTGTGGGTTTGTGAGTAAGTTTCTTGTAAATGTCTTAATTGTTAACAGATTGTTCATTGTAGTTATAGCTACATGTTGTATCTAAGACCAAATGTTTTTAAATGACATCACAGGATTTTTCTACGTAAAAGTAGAAAGACAGAAAAGTGGAGGTTGTAGAAATAATAATTAAAAGGTCAACTTACATGAACATAGAGTAAGTAGCCAGTGTAGAAGTTTGTTATTTTATACAGTAAGTATCTGGCATTGTTGCTGCATGTATCTGAAGAGGGGAAATTTTCTCGAAGGACCTGCAGCATTGATGCACAGTAGGAGGCATGTAGCTTGATGGCACTTGGATTGTGACTACCACCATTGTTCTAACCAAGTACGGTAATAAACTTACAGTATAAGTTGTATCTGTGTGCAATGAATTCAAAAGATAAACAACAAACAGAACAATTTAAAATGGTGTGGTCACAATATTCAAAAACATATTTAGAATAAATATAGACAAAAAAGTTTTAAAAAGCAGCAAAACATGACCATTAACAGCTTTGTTGTGCTTCTAAGTTGAAGTTACAGTGTGTGACTGCCAAGCTTATATATAACAGATTTTTTAAAACAAAAAACCTTTTGATGTAACATTTTTTTTTTTGACATCAAGTATACTGTAATATGTAAGTGAATATGCAACCGGTTAATAAAAAGCTTTGATGCTGATTTTAACAGTATTACATACTGAATACTGTATCCTAGGTATTTTGAAATGTGTGTCTTACCACAGGAAGGCAGTTATTGTATCTAAATCGTCTGCGGGTTCCAGACAGACCGAAAACAATGAGCACTGTCGAACAAGATGTCGCACATTGGAGAGCTGAATGTACTCTCTTCATCCGCCTGTTACGTAACACATCTGTTGTTGTTGTCTCTCTTCATTTTAACGTGCAGCACCTGCTCATCTTTTTACCGACTCGTGACTCATAGCTGACAACAATTTCATTCAAAATGTTGCAAAAATGTGTATGCTTGGATGGATGGGTGTGTGTCTAGAGAGGGAGAAAAGTAAGAACATGGGTAAAGTAAAAAAGAAAAAATATTTTCATATGAGATACAAGGCAAGATGAATGCCTTATTTGTATTATCTGAGAAGTAATCTGTAAAATGTTTTTTTCTTTTTTAAGTGACAGACTATGTAGTTCTGCATGTTCTGTCTGCTTCATTGTACTTTCATCAGCCTGTCTGGTCTCGCCTATCGATCCTGTCTGAAGATTCACTGAAAAAGACAAGGTCAGAGGCCTAACAGGGCAGAAGAAAATGCCAAATGTGAAATCTACCCTTAAGGTCTGTTCTAATATGTGTTTATCTCTAATCTGTTCTGACGATGTGTGAACTAAAAGCAGATAACCTGTTAAGACTTTTCTTGATTTCTTGTTGTACGGAAACAGGATTTAAAAGAAGTATTTATAAGCTAATAATAATAATGTGTTCATATTGTGCGGTTTTGATCAACAGCTCTTACCGTGAGTGTTGTAATGAATTTGCGCTGCACATACATATACACACAAAGTATTCTGAACATAGACACACTCCTCTGATGTCCTTTTAGACACAAGGCAGAGATAATGGTTGTTGAGTTCACTACCTCTTTTGATCATTTCTGTGTATGGGGGCCAATCACCACTTCAAACATTGCATCTGCTGCTCTGCACCCTCTAGCAGCAACACCAACCCCTTTTACAAAATGTGAATCCTCTGGACAGAGAGATACTCAGTGGAATCTATGATGTTGTTGTTCAGTGGCTGAGTTCTATTGATTTGTTTTGTGGTTTGTTTTCTGGGTAGGGCTCCAAGTCCTGCATGTGCTTTGTGAGATTACTATGAATTTCATACAACTGACGTTCAAACAGCAGATTTAAACTTCGCTCAGCCATATTAACTCTGCGCCCATATAACCTTAAAATCAAGCTTTAATGTCAAACACAGCTAATAAAGATGAAGAGCCAATACTATCAGTCATGTAAGCTGACCTTTCAAAAGAGAAAATGCACACATAGAGCGACATACACACACGTGTTCGCACTCACGCGCAGTCTGCACACCGATCAGTCATTACACACACGTGCACTTCTTCACTTTATGCCTTCATCTGGACTTCTGTCAGGTCTCTGATTTTGTGGTCGTTGGCTGGATATTCTGGACTTTGGAAAGTGTGACTGGCACCTTTCCCTCTCCGGGGGTCGGTGCTCTCATTATGGGGGTACCTGTGATAAAAGCAGTCCTGCTAGGTGGGATATTCATGCAAAAAAAGTATAACAGTAACCTATTCCCCTTACTCCCATTTACTCACTGGCAGTGTAACCTTTATCCCACTATGTGTCATAATAAGACAGTAGAGAGTGAAACCTTACCAACTGCGTGCAGATCGGCCAACCTCTCCTTAAACTTCTGCTGCAGATACAGTTCTTCTTTGGAGTAGCTTTTGGCAAAGGCAGACAGCAGGAGACCTACAGCCATGGCGGTGCCTCCCACACAGAACAGCACAGCACCCGTCAGCTTACAGACATCCAGTGCGCGGTTGAAACTGACAGCATGGCTGTTCAATAAAAAGACATTTAGTTCAGAGCATTATTCAGAAGTAAAGCAATATGTGTGCAACCAGTTCACAGTTGTGAAACTGGAAAAAGTCTGGGGCTAGAAATTTCACCTTTTAACCTTTGTTTTACAACTATTTTCAAATTGGAACTAAAATAAACGACGGGTAAAAGATGAGAATTTTGATCTCTGTTAATTTATTGCAATTTTTTTCTTAGGCTGAAATACCAGCTGTCCAGTGGGGGCGTATCAAAGACTTTTTGCATTCCATTAAAACAATGTGTTCTCCATTTTGATCATCCGTTGGAAGAATGTACCGTGCAGATTACAACTAAATATACAGAATATCTGTGTAAGAATATTAAAGATTACATCCACTCCCTCCCATTAATATATTGTATTGTTCCTGTACCTGTCAACAAAAAGGAGATCATCCTCGCCAAATGCTTCAATCCTGGCTGGAGTGGCATAACCCACCAAAACAACGATGAGGCCTGCAAACAAGATCAGGGTGCCAAACGCGAGACAGACCTGGTGGGGGGAAAAAGAAGTAGCAGGATAAAAAAAGAGTCTGTTATGTTCTCTATAGTCTTGTTGTAATTACAGATTGCTTGCAGTACGACATGATTGTCCAAATAACGGCAGGTGAGATGTGGTTTTGTTTGTTTCACCTCACCTTCCAGAGTAAAGAGCTCCACCTGCTAGGCGATCTCTGAATCTGAAAATCTTCATCACGTTCCCAGATAGAAGCTGTGCACTCCTCATAAAACTGAATGAGAGATCAGAGAAATGTTTTTTTTTCACCTTCCAAATATAAAAAATGAAATTTCTAAAAGCAAAACCTGTTAACGTTAAAAAAAAAAAAAAAAACGTAGAACAATATGAAACTGTCAAGAAAAGCTTTTTGAGATGTAAGAGAATGGTTGATATTTGCAGAGGGGTGCCCTATACTCATCTCTCTCTTCTGTATGTGTGTACATATGTGTGTGCATGTGTGTGTGCGTTGTACCTGGTGTAGGTAGGAGCGGACTCCATACTGCTGACAGTTCCCGCTGGCTTGAGCTTGCTCAGCATACTCTGACCCACAGATCTCCGAACAAGAAGTCATCCTTCACATCTGTCTACCTGCCTGAGGACACACACACACACACACACACACATGCATGAATGCCTGACTACACACACTTGCTTGAAGGAACCACCCACACGATTTGTGGACAAACTCTTCCCATGCATAAACATGTACACACATGTATTCAGTACATGTATTTATTCATCCACACAAGCATATACTCTCACACACACAGCACCAGAAAGTTATGTAACATTGTAATTGAAGCATGGGTGCCTCAGTACATTGAGATTGAGATTAATGATGCATTCTCCTTGTCTGCTGTTATGAAATAAGCCATGAAACATTACATTGGCCCTCCTTGTTAGATTTAATATTGTGTCGGCTGAATACAGGGAGTGCCGAGATGCAGAGTTAACCTCCTTTTCTTTTCATATTGTGCTTCCAAGACAGATAATGTATCAGGTTTGCCATTCACATAACAAATATGCCAACAAAAATAACAATTAATGGTTTTCCAAATAAAGAAGTACTGTGTATATCACAAGTTATACGTGCTATCAAATTTTAATGTGAGAGGTTTGGAACGATTTTTTTTTAATGGATCAATAATGTGCAGTAGGAAGTCATTTGCCCAAAGTCATGTGGTTTTACATAAAGGTCATTCAAGTAATGTAACTAGCTATTTTGTCACAGCTGAATGTACACTGTCATGTGTTATATTGGTTACCACTTTCTTTGTTTTGTTGCTATCCTGGTAAAAAAAAGAGACAATAAAACATCTATCTAGGAAATGTTATTTTACACACACACACACCTGCAATTCCCTCAGTATCCATTTGAGATCCAGAGACATTTCACAGCTCACTGCCTCTATTGAAACACATATAACTATTTTTCAAGTTTTTGTCAGCTAGCACTAAATCTCAACTGGTGTTTCTGTTGCACCACAACAGAAATACACTTTGGGAACAGAGGTGGGAATAAAACATTGATCTCAGTGTTGGCCATGTTTATTGTATATGCCAAAATAAGTAAAACGTGAAGACACACATCCAAGTAACACATTAGTTTTCAGCATGTTATGATTCCAAAGCAGCATCCTGTGCTCTTATGACACATGTGACAAACTGATAAATCAACTGCTGTAAACAAAGAAACACTATTTGTAGCTCATGTGATTCATCGGATTAAATCTAAAAAAACAAAGCAAGTGGCTTAGTAGGCTTAGTAGGCATCAGGAGGGGTATGTACATCAACTAGATCTATTGGGCAATGCAATGTAAAATAAAGTAGCAGTGATAACAAACCTCTGGAGGAAAAAGCATGAATGATATCCCTGAATTCTTGTTGACTTATTAAATACTGTAGGGAATCAATCTGAGCTCAGGGTGCTATATATGCAATGGTATGCAGGTGAGAATAAGTTAAACCTACAATTGCCAACAATTTATGGATGCAAGTCTTACAGTAAAAATGCCACATGACCGTTTCTAGTGTTACATGGGACGAAAGGGGCCTAAAAACAAAAGAATCACATTTAACCTCCAGCCTGTGTTGCCATCAGTGTCATTACACAACGTTGTGTGTTTAGTCTGTGGATGAAATGTGTTACTTTTAAGGCCTTAGTATTAACTAATCCATAAAGGACATCACTAGTGTCTTGCTCACGTTTCCTCATCATTTACAGCTGACATTACACATTTACATTATGTCTCTTGATGCAGCTAGTCAAGTGAATTTTGTTTATACAGCCCAAAATCACAAATTGGCCCCAAAAAAATGTAAAATATGTAAAGCCTACAACACCCTCTATCCTTAGACCCTTGATTTAGGATTGACCTGTTTCATTGGTTTGATTAAATGAACAATCTGTCTTTTTTATCTGAAAATCCTTATACAGTAAATGTTTGGATAACACAGTTGATAAGATGTTGGTGAGAGAGTGTCTAGTGTCTATAAATTGCCAATCATGAATTCACACTGTATATGTAAAATGTCAGGGTTTCAGTCAGATAGCATAATATGAGTGCAGTGAGTGAAATGCTACATTAGGATGAGGCACACTGTTCCCTGGAACCTCGTGTTAATCATATTACTGCCTAATTTGTACCTGATGAGAACTCTCATGAACATCTGCCTCTGCCCAGATGCTGTGAAGCCTCTATGTACCCGTATCTGCATACATTCAGCAAAGTTTAAATATCCATCGTCCATCAAACTAAGTGAAAATGAAAAAGGTGAAATGTGCTAATACGAGAGATTGCAAAGTATGAACTGCAATTACTTTCCAATTTATAGAGACTCCATTTTATTTATTTATTTTTATCAATTTCTTTTCCATTCAAACCCTAAACTTGAATTTATGTTAGGATTTGTTTTTTTAAAAAAACTGGCCAATTGTCCTTGATCATATTTGAATTTACAAGTAAATGTTTTTGAAACAACATAAAATTACCTTCAGTGCCCTTGACCTCATGTGGTCCTGGACACAGATACAGACGTACAGTAAATGTCCAAAACTGACTTATAGATAGGTTATTATAGACTGATTAAGATAACTACAACCATATACAACAACACTATCAAAACGAACTGTTAAAATGGTCAAACACTAAATTCAGATGAGCTACCAGCTCGCAGATGACTCCCATAAGGTCATTCAGATTCTCATCCGCCTGCATCCTCTCCTGTTTTGACATGTTTCCTCACCCACAACACCAAACCGCAACCTATCTGGACCTAGATCAAAGTAGGGTTCTGAAAAATAAAACACAATACATCAAAAACAATCATCAAAATGGAGATTTAAATGGCGGAGTAACGATGTAGTAACCCTGCCTCCAGCGTGTCCTTTCAACCGTTGAACCGGGAGCGCCATTATTCCCATCCAGCCCCCAGCACCCAGCACCCAGCAGGAAAACATACACACGTCATATGTGACGTCAGTCTGAAAACAGACCTCATCCGCCCCCCCCCCAGCAGACACAAATAGACACACACGCTTTTCAACTTACAAAGTCGAGCTGCATCAAAGCTTTTGGACTAAATCACGTCGTCTGACGCCTTCAACACCTGAACAACGTAATCTCTGAAAAATGACATCCGCTGGTACAAGCTCAGGGTGGAAGTTTTATTCCATATGATACAGATAGCAACGCCCGAAACGCTCATAAATGAACATACAGACACTGGCGACTCAACATTCACACCGACGACTTAAGTGAAAGGTGACATAAAGTTTAAAAGAACATTTTCTTCCCCCCACACGAACGCTACTTCCAGATGTGCGAGATGATGATGATGATGATGTGCGCGGATGACACCGTTGAAGGCATCTATGCAGGAAATCTGATTTCCCTACATGTTGTGTACAAAATCAACAATTCAGCTGAGCTTCCATACTTCCAGAAATATGCCTGAAAATCATTAAAATAGCCATTTACCTGTCATTACCAGCTCGGAGAGTGATCACTCGCTGCTCTTCCCTCAGCCGGGTCCCATCACTCTACGGTCACCTCTTTCTCTCTCTCTCTCTTTCCGCCGATGATTCAGATTCTACTGCGCAGGCGTCACATACATGACAAAATATGATTCAGTGGCGGATATAAATAACCAAGCAGGAGGCCTGCTGAACAGAAAGACATCCATTCAAGATTGAACATTCATGCCTGGATGGATTCATGAATGAATGAATGAATTAATACATGTATCTATGTATTTGTGTATGTATGTATAGACTGATACTGAGACAGACAGATAGATAGATAG